CCAAATCCCGCCGGCAGCGGGGGAGGCCGTGAGACGGCCCCTGGACAGCTCCCCACTGAACCACCCAGCTCCGAGCTGACGGAGCGACTGGAAGACATCAGCGCTCGCATCCAGCTGGTCCGACAGAAGCTGTCACAGAGGCTGGACTCGCAAATGAGGTAGGTAGGCTGAACCTGAGCTCGCCTGCTTAAGACTGTCCGTAGAACATGCTTAGTTAAGTCATGACGCCTTGTAGCGGGTGATTTGTCTAAAAAAATAGCTTTCACTATAACTCCTGCCAGCAGAATAGTCGCTTTTTACAAGGGCCTTGCCCAATATACAGGGTGTCCCATAAGTTCGTTCTCACCTAAATTTTACGTTTTTAGGCTCTCTTGCTTAAAGGCACGCTGAAATTGGTTCGTAACTGAGCTTACGTGGTTGCCATGGCTGGTAGAAATATGCTCCACATTAGCTAATTTCTGTAGACAAAATAGTTTTTACTATAGAGCCCGCTTCCTACAGAGACGGCTAACGCCGCAACATAGAGGTCTCCGATACGGGTACGTCTCAGTATTTAGTCAGCACGTGACCATTCGCGACGATTGAGGGTGATTGAGGCCTACCAGTCTGTAGCCAATGCCCATCGCTAACTGGACGCACAGTCAGCAAGTGACGCCGATGATTTGTCGGGAGTCAGTCACTACAAGTTTATCCTCTTTCCAGTCAGCCCTCAGGAGTGAGCCAAGTGGCCAAAACTGTGTGGCGCCAAAGTGGCATCAAAAAGGTCAAAGGGTTACAAAGTTGGTAAGCAGACTTTTCAGGATGGATTACCAGCTGTCTAAGAGTGTTCTTTCGGGGTACATAACTCAAGGTGACTTAAGCTTTGCTTAACGGAGGGCACAAAACAGTCAAAAACGTCTTAAAATGGCCAAACATGAGTTTCGTTATGTCTGAGGCTAAACAAAACAGAGGGCTGATGACATCAACCAGGTCATCAGGACTAACTAGTCCACGTTCGAGATGAAACACCCGTCCAAACCCGAATACAACCCCATAAGGGCGGAGGAGGAGGCCTCCGTTTCGTCCCGTTATGTTCCTATGCAAAAGGCCAGGTCACTGTGTTAGTGTGTTGTGGGGTTATAGGCGTTCTGGAGTTGACCAAGTTGCAAGTGGCAACCCAGAAACAGTTTTGAGAAACAGAATGTTTTTCCAAGAACATCTAGGAGGAGTTTCAGCCCTCAAGCTGAACTCGAACCGCGAGTATGAACATATTTATAGAGGAGAAAATGGCATCCGGGAGGTCGTAGGCCCATCTTCAGGCAAGACAGTGCATCAGTGCACAGGTCAAGCAAAGCTTAAAAGCGGTGCAAGGAGACTGTGACAGGCGTTTGTGGCAAGATCACATGCCAGGCACCTCATTGGATCAAAATTTCATAAAAATTTGTTGGTTATGCTGAAATTGAGGCTCGTCGAAGCGTAGCGCTGTTCCAGCCTCGAGGAGCTCACGGCGCATGTCAAGTCAGTCTGGGTTAACTTTAAGCCTGCTATGCAGCCAAACATGCCGTTTGGCATGCCGCAGCATGTATTCATGTGTTTGCCAATTAAATGGGGAGCACATTGAGGGGTCATAAATATATTAAAACGCAATGTACTCTGTTTCACATGCAAACATAATGTGAGAACGAACTTATGGGACACCCTGTAGCTCGATGAACTTCACAAGACGATGATCGGCGATCGGCGCTCCTTCGCTGACAGACTGAAACCTGACCCACAGAATAACTGGCGCCGGTAACTCGCTGGTCACGCTAGCGGTGCTCGCGCTGGGAGTCCTCCTTTTCGACGCCATCAACGACGCTCTGGCGGGCGGCGGGGGCGGCCGGTCCGCCGGCGGTCTCTGGGGCCGTCTGCTGGGTCCCGAGCTGCTGCGATGGGCGACACCGCCGGACCGCTGGGACAGACTCCTGGCGGAGTTGGAAGATGAGGAAGCGTCGGCAGGCCGGGAGGTGCTGCTCCCCGGGCCGGGAATCATCGGCGAGTACATCAACAGTCTGCTGGAGATCGGCCTCAACATGATCACAGTGTGGATGCATGGGTGAGTGGGATGGGTGAGGGCAGCGAGAGACGAGGGGCTTACCGAGAGGAGCACGGTTTCGGTAGTTGCATCTTGTGCCGGGGCGGGGAAGGGGAGGGTCAAGGGAGCCCATAGAGAGGTGATTTAATTTTAACCATAGCATGCCAGCAATTATCTTGAAACAGCTCGATTTGTGTATATTTCTAGCAGCGAGAAGCGGTACCGTATTTGTCCACCTAGCGGTCATTCGATGAACCACTAGTTACCGTTCTGTCCGCAGGGAGGCGGGCTCGCAGTGCGGTCGCCGTCTGCTGTGTGAGCTGAATCAGAAGGCCCGCTCGCAGTCAGCACTGCACTCAGCGCTGACGTATACGGGCGGCCTGCTGCTGTCACTGCTGCTGCCTGAGGCGTCTCCCTCCGACCATCTGCTGGCCATGAGGCAGGGACGGCGCGGAGCCGACTGTGTGGCCACCTTCGACCGGTGTCAGGTCACACTGTGACACAGGTCAGGTTAGGTGACACGGTCAAAGGTCAGGAAACACCGTGTACAGGTCAGGGCAGGTGACACCGTGACACTGATCATGTGACACGGACACAGGTCAAGTCGTGATCACAGATACGATGGGAGCGTGACGTGGCATTGAAGACAAGTGATAGCTGGTACAGTGATTGAGTCTAACTCACTTCTAGGTATATGTACTACTATTATGTACGATGTTAGGGTTAGTACTGTGACTGAAGTCAGCTGTAAACGGTCCAGAGGTAAGGTATCTGACAGAGAGCAGCTCTTCGCGTTTGATGATGTGTCGAACTCTAAATAGGGCAGTGACCGACCGGTTATATCACCCAGGCTGGCTCAGCTCGGCACTGGCGACAGTGGCATTATGTTACATGCACCATGTTGTCCTCAGAGGCAAATGCGCCGTCCAGGACATATTATACCAGTTTGCCCGGGTGAGCCTAACGAGCCGTCAAACGACTCCTATGTAGCATGTTTTATCCAACGATTCAGGTTGAGCTCTGCGGTCGACATTTGAGGCTTGGCGGTACTGCATCGTTTTCAGTGGAATTAGTGCATGTCTGTTGTCGAATTCCAAAAACAGAAATTGGAGCGCCCGGGAGACGCCTGACATTCGACAATGTACGATACCGTGTGTGGTTGACGAGCAGAAACAGCCTCGTTTTGATTTTATGTGCATGCTAGCTGTTCTAAGGAGTAAGAATAGTGAATAAGTAAACAAAACTGAAATGAGATTCTATTTCCGAATGCTATTCTGTTTTCTAGGCCATCTTGGCGTACTGATCATTTCATCAAGCATTATAAATTTCCCTTACTATTTTATATTGTATTATGTTCTTTAGAAGACAACAAGTACACAAGGCGGACACAAAGACTACAATAATGGCATTAGGCGCCGAGCTGTACGCCTACAAAGCAGCACACCCTGCCAGAAGCGCACTTCAGCCACAGCCAACTCTGCGGACGCGAACCAACCAGCACGGCACGGACAAATCACCCTAGTGCGCAACCAACTATCACGTGACGATTACATGGGACTCACGTATTCCTAGCACCCTATTCCGAGGCAAGCGGCAGTAGATAAGAGCACACATGGACGCGAGCGAACCCCGGCAGGAGCCTAGGCTGGGTCGGGAGCTGGGGGGCTCGAGCGAGGCAGACAGTCACCAGGCATCATCTACCGTTGGAACGGACCCGTGCTTACAGGCGAAAGCTGGCGAGCAGCACTCTGAAATGAATGCTGCGGTCTTTTAACCCGCGCCCCGTAGGGCTACCGGCGGACCCTACCACCCGTAGGGGGGGGGGGGGGCCGTTTCGGCCCCCCCCTAAGATCTCGGAAAGTTACCGGCCGATTTTCAAAATTCAAACGGCGTTTGATAGCCCTACCCGGGAACTACCTTGTGACCAAATTTCATTGACCTAGGTCAAACCGATGACGTCACAGGTCAGGTCAAAGGTCAGATTTTCACCGTTCACAGGCAATTCAAGAAATGTGCTGTGAAATCGAGTAAATTGGTAATTTGTTGAAAACCATCGATGGTATATTGTTCGTCAAACACATACTTTGCTATCTGAGGTCACTGATACCAGGTCAGGTCACAGCGAGGTCAGGTCACCGGGGGTCACAATATGAATGTGTCGTGTGATACATGTTTTATGGTCCATTTTACATGATAAATGCGATTATGTGGGTTAGGCAGCCTTTGGGGCCAGCCTAGGTCACGTTTTGGTGAAGGTCAGGTCAAGGTCAGGTCAAATTAGGTCAAATTTCAAAGTTGATATTTTTGCATAAAATGGGTATCCATTCGATGCAGCTCGTCACGGGGAGTCTAATGGTGGTCTTTGTTTTGCTCTACGATTTCTAGAATTGCCAAAAATTGAGTTTGAAAATTTGACGTCATCATTTTTGAACAGTTTTTTCGCTATAACTTGGCCAAAAAACGAGGTATCGATCTGAAATTTGGTATGTAGATAGAAGACGGTAGGTACTATCACATATATTCCGGTTTTTCCGAAACTCAAAAAACTTTTTGGATTTTTTGGCTAATATATCCAAAAAAATGCTTTTTTGATTTTTGGGGATCAAAACTCAAAAATTTCAAAAATCCGAGATAGCAGTTTTGTAGCCCTGTCAATTCTACACCTTTTATGTCTTGATCATTTTTCTGTATCTTCAAAGCTGTAGGCCTGACAGGTCTTCTCGCGAAGGTCTTTTTTCGGTCGAAAATGACAGAACATGACGTCACTCTGACGTCATTTGTGGCCAACCTACCACAGCCTCTGGAAAAATTTTTGGTCACAATGTGTAAAATTGATGCCCGGAGGGGTCCTGAAAGTTTAGTGGCGATATCTCCAGCCGTTTAGGAGATATCGACCGAAAAGGACAGGGGGGCCGTTTCGGCCCCCCCCCTACGGGGCGCGGGTTAAACGTACGCCGCACTCGCGAAACTACCTGCAGCACTCGCCAGGTCTAGTGGAGTGGAACTTGTGAGTGCTGTTAGGAGGCTAGGAGCCCAGCCGTCACCCGTGACTATGGAAAACACAGGACAGGTAACCTACCCACTCTCATACATCGAGACTAGACTCTGCGGTTGGAAGATTAAATTAAACCGTAATTCGTCCCGGCAAAAATCTGGTGGCACGGCTCACGGTTTCGCTGGTTGTAGGCGTCAGACAGTGGAAAATCGCTTCCAAAAACAAAAAATTGTACGAGACGCGTCTTGTACTGGCATCTCTTCTCTTCCAGTCTGGGATGTCTTCAATTCAAAATCACAGAGGAGACCGTGCAAAATCTCGGCTGACCAGGAATCCAACCACCTGGGCAGTTAGTCGGGCGGACCACCTGGGCAGTTAGTCGCGTGGCGCCGCGCGGCGCTCTGCGGCCTAGCGCGGCCGCTGGACGGCCGACTCGGTCCCGGCCGCCTGGCCCAGTCCCACCAGGCCCTGGGCGGTGTTCAGCAGGCTGATGGGAGTGCGTCCGTCGGTGATGAGCGTGGACTGCAGGCCCAGACTCTGCAGCATGCGCACCTGGTGGTCGCCGCCAGCAGTGGCCATGGCCTTCAACGTCTCGGCGCCCATCGCCGACACCATCTGCTGGAACTTCTCGATCTCGATGTTGGCCATCTCCTTGGAACGCGCGATCTCCAGCTGGTTGCTCTCCTCGGTGTACTTGAGCTCGGCCTCGCGCGCCGAGCGCAGCCGCTCCAGCTCCGACTCGGCCTCGATGTTGGCGGCGCGCGCCTTCAGGCCGGCCTGCTCCACGGCCGCCTCTCCCTCGATGCGGGCCGCCTCGGCGCGGCTCTGCGCCTCGGCCTTGGCCTGACCGGTGCTCTCGATGGCCGCGCACGCCGTCTGCAGCTCGACGAGCTCCTTACGCGCCTGCTCCGCGGCCGCCTCGTCCTTAATCTTCTGCCGCTCGAGTCGGCCACGCGCCTCCTGTTCCGTGCGCTCGGCCTCGTGCTTGGCGGCCGCCTCCTGAGCGTTGGTGGTGATCTCGATGGCCAGCTGGACGCTCTTCTGGAGCGAGTCGCGCGTCCGCTGGTCCACCGGCTCCACACTCTGGATGTCGATCGAGGTGACCACAAGGTTGTTCTGCGGAAACACAAACTGTTTGCGCACCTTGCCAGCGTCGTCCAGACCGAACACAGACTGCCGGATGATTTTGGCCGAGTTCTTGTGGAAGTCATCGAATGGTCGCTGCGCCACGGCGCCGCGCACACGAGACGCGATCGCCTTGCACGCGTCGCCCACAAAGTCAGGCACGCTGAAGATCTTGCACGCATCCTCGGCAGTCTTGTTGCCGACATCAAAGTGCCAGTTGTAGGCAATCTGCAGCGAGAGACGCGCGTGGTCGGACGTCTCGACAGTGACAATATCAGTGCAGAAGTCGGGTCCGAGCAGCAGCGACAGCGCCCGGATCGTGTTGGGCTTCTTGGGCTTGCCACCGGACAGGGAGAGTTGCGTGAACTGTTCGTCCGGCTCCAGCATCACCAGGTCGGGGCCGAACACAACGCGCGACCGCTTCGCCTTGTAGTCGTAGACCTGAACGGCTGCGTTGTGCGGCACGCGGTAGGTGATGACGCGGGTGCGGTCGCTCAACTCGTCATGGCTCTTGTTGGTCGCTGACCGTCTCAGCTCCCGGTAGCCGCCGCGGTCGGCCAGCGCGTCGGTACGCAGCAGCTCCACCACGCTGGCGGGCAGCTCCTTCTCCCACAGCTCCTCGTCCTGGGTGAGCATGTAGGTCTGTCCACAGACGGCGCGCACCTCGCCCGTGCGGTTGTTGCGCACGTAGATACCCTCGGTGCGGTCGAGCGGGATAGCCGTCTGCTGGACGACCACCTCCACCTCGATGGGCGGCACGAACTCCACGGGCCCGGTGACCATCCAGCGGTCTCCGGGCCGGCGCGTCACCGGCGGCGTCACTGTGTTGTCAGTGAACGCCTCGCCGGCGCGCAGCACCAGCGCCTCGTTCTCCTGGAGGATGTAGTTGTCGCGGACGTCGTCTTCCAGCGTCTCACCGGGCTGCAGGAAGAACGACTTCTCACCGCGCACCAGCCGACGCTGGCCGAGCTGCGGCTTGCCGTCCGGCCCGACCGGGTCGCAGATGACGCAGTACTGCCGGCTGGTGAGGGTGGTCACCTCGCGTTCCTCCACCACCTCCTCGTACACGTCTGGGATGAACGTTTCCATATCGTCGAAGCGCACCAGCCACTCCTCGCCGTTCTTCCTGCGCACGCCGCGACTGTCGGTGAAGGTGCGAGTGGCGCGCACCAGAAGAGCCGTCTTCTCCGTCAGCACGTGAGCGTTCACCATCTTGGCCACCTCCTCGTAGACGCCGGGCATGTAGGCGCCGACTCTGGTCACCAGCCATTCCTCGCCGGCCACCCGCTTCTGGCCCTTCCAGTCGGTGGTTTCGAGTCGTGCCCGCAGTCGGAGCGCCTGGTTCGGCCCGATGATGATGGCCTTGATATCGGCCACCTCCTCGACCTCCGGACGCGGCACGTAGGTGCCCGGCCCGAACAGCCACTCATCGCCGGCGGAGCGCACCACCTCCCCCTCCTTGAACTCGCGCAGCGCGCGCAGGTGGAGCGCCTTGTTGGGCGGGACCACCTTCAGCGGCAGCACGGCCGAGCTGAGCTTCTCGCCCGGGTACAGCGGGAATGGGTCCTGGTGCAGCCGCACCTCCGTGTCGGCGTGCAGCAGGCGCGCCTGGCCGCTGGCGTCGCACACCACCTGACCGTCCTCGCCGCGCACCACCGGGTTCTCGACGACACAGTAGTGGCGCGGCGGCACCACCACCATGGCGTTCGGGCCGACGATGACCCTGGAGACGGAGCGGGACAGGGTCAGGACAGACGGCCAATAATAAGTCTCGAAACATTAGCGGGTTTGAGGAGCACATCATCACATTTTGGTTGAAACCGAGACGGGAAACTATACGATAGAATTAGACAAGCACAGCTCTTCTACGGTCACCGTTATTGACAGTGACCGCAAAACGAGGGAGTTGAAGCCCGAGCTCCTCGGCCCGCTGCGCCACCTATCCTGCCCTGACCTACACCATGAGAGCTTGGCAGCTCCCAGCCGCACTAGTACCCGATCTCCCATACAGATGGCGCCCGGCCGCAGCGTCCGATCCCCAGTCGGACGGGTGAACTCGGGCCTGGACACGCCGCCGAAATGTCGGGCGCTCTCCGTATCGATCCAGGGTGTGGCGGAGAGCGGCCACATGGCGCGTCCCATCCCCGGTCCCGGCTCCAGCGCGGCGCGACCCCCCGGCTCTCCGACGAGCCGGCAATATGGCCGACCCGCCCACACAGCGGACACAAAGACTGGGAAATACACTCTTCAACTAGCCGACGTTCATGAGCAACTTTTGCATCATTGTCGCTACGGAACATACTGCTCGTAGAATACTCATGAGAATATCTACCCCACCCTTCAATCCCTCCAATTCCCGACTGTCTCTGTCTGAGATGCCGCTCGAACGCCCACTTACCGTTCATTGTCCTTCCTGATGAAGGTCTGCGGTCCGACCTCGACCCGGGTGACGTTGGCCGTCTGATCGAGCACGTGCACATAGTAGTGCGGAGGGATGCGGAACAGGCTGTCCGACGAACTGGAACTGTCCTTCTTACTCATCTTGATCGCTGTGAGAGGGAGGTGGGCGGTCAGACAGGCAGATGCATAAGACAAACGACATTAACACTTAATAGGTACGGAGATGCTGGCCGAATGGGGTAAAACATATCGTAGACAAACGCCAGCTCCTAGCTCACGGGTTGACTGACACTGCGGAGCAAAAGACACGAGGTGTACTTACCGGTGTCGGATACACCCCACACTCACCGCTCACGGCTGTCCTACCTTCAGCTGCTTCGTTCAGCAGCTGCAGGTCGTCCAAGGCCATAAGGGCCCCCGCGACACAATATACAATGGCTCACACCGATCCGCGACCACACTGCTCACACTCCCTGGCACGAACGCCTTACTACACAGAGTCTGAAACACGGCACAGAAGACGTGACCGTGCATACACCCCGCCACCGTCTGCCGCTCCCGGGTCTGGGTACGAATCACCTGCCCCGCCGGCCGGCCGGCCAGAGGACAAACATCCCAGTTTGGCCGAGCCCTGGCACCCAGCCAGTCTTCAAGTCCAGTCATCGGCCGGCCCGATGGGAGGCCAACTGCAGGGAGCCGCCGATTCATGTGAGGAGTTACGGGATAGCTGTGAGAGACGGCCGCGGGCCGACGGGGGTACTTGGACAGATGGTCGGGTGCCGACTGGGCGATAACGAACCACGAGTGTGGAGAACGGGAAACATAAATTGACGAGCGAATACGACATACGTTACCAGTGCGTCACAATAAAGCACGAATTTGAAGAGAGCAGTTAAATTCATGACCCGTAAAAGGATCAGCCACAACACGTTAGCTGTCGACAAGCACAGGAAAACATCTAGTCAATGGGGTCTTACATGCCATCTGCGATTCCTGTTCCTCCTGATCGAACAGCAATTTCAGCATTCGCAGTGCACCAGTGCACTGTTCCGTGTTCCGTGCAGTATTAACCGTCTGCTGTCCTTTACTGTCCTCACCCCACCGGCACCGTCTACCGTCGGCTCAGACCAGAACGAACACTTAGACTGGGCCACCGGCCGTACGTACCGGTACCAATCCGTGAATGTTTGCCCGCCGTCCTGGTAACGCCACGTGGCCTCGGAGGGCCCGACGGGTGCCACCACCGTCCGTGTAGGCTAACGACACGTCAATACACCCCTGTATGGATTGTGGACGACCACACGCCAGCTAGGAGCACCGGCCGTGGGGTCGGGCCGCGCTGTTGGGTGTGGTAAACGTGACAACCCCGTGGTGCCTAATTGATGCGGGTCACCAGACCAGGGGAGGGGCGGCGGGTCAGGTGAAGGGAATGGGTGGGAGCACGTCGGCACAGGTCGATAATGGTGGCATGAATGCGATCTCCATGGCAGGTTCACCGAGCGAGTGCTACTTTGGGGGGGGGGGGGGGGCGAAGTCCCTGAATACAGTCAATACCCTTCATTGGCATGCTTTTCAAAGAAACACCAAATGAACACATAGGGAGGGGAGAACCGTCCAAAACGACCCCATTAAGGAAAAACGGTGTGTCACCGCTAAACCGGTTATTTCACCATGCGTCTTTGGGTATTTTGTTAAAGTGTTATCTTCAGATTATTGAACAAAATAATATGCAAGGCACTCGGATGTTGCATTCCGGCAAGAATGAGCTTTTGCAAGACCCCTGCAAACGGGGCGTTTTACATTACGGGTGTTGTAAAACACCCCACTTTGGTTGTCCCTATTGATGAGTTTCGTTTGCATAAATATTGCAATTAATATTGCGTTTTCAGTGCAGCTGCTTCGAGCTGGCATCAACCGGAGACGGCTGTTATCGAGATCCGCTCCACAGAAACTGCTTCTACCAAGTACCAACTCGCGATCCGAGCTATTGGTGCCTGATGACGTCACCCTAGAGCAAACTCAGCCACTTTTTCTCCACCAGCATCCCCATATCGGCGGTGGAATTTCCGTCGTATACGTCAGCTATGACGTCAGAGCGACAGGCCCAAACAGACGACCGACCGGCCGCCTATCGGACCAGCTCCGCATGGGACGGTGAGTATTGAACGGCTGGCGCTACGGACATCTGAGCCCGACGGCCAACCGTCTGGATCTGGCCATTTCAGGGTTTACGGACCGTGATGCGACTCAGACGGCCGCAAACTTGACCCAAGAAGAGTAGCCGGGAACTGCGAAGCGCTGGAGTTCAGGCAACTGACCTTCCATACTTTCTTGGATTATATGATAGGTATATCTAATCATAATGCATGCCATTCAGGCGGGTGGATGGGTGCTTGGATCCACTCGCCATTCGCCAGTCACCCGACGATAGTTTGTCACTGTCTGCAGCTCAGCAGCCAGGGGTCCGGCTGCGCGGCCCACCCGGCGCCATGCCGGGCTGCTGCTGGGTGCTTTCAAGGTCATCGGACGACACGTCACAACAGCTACGGCGGAATAGCATAGCACCACAGTGCGAACGAGGGTGAACCGACTCCACATCCTGTGATATGTGCGTCAGATCTAGGGTTCCGATAGAACCAGGCACGCCGATTGTTACCTGGGTTACCGACCCAAACAAAGACCACTGAAACCGAGTTTCGTCCTAACCCAACACCGCTAGTGGTAAAGCAGCCTTGGCTCCAACCCCAGCCCTCACGGCACCCTCGTAGTAAGATCGCGGATCAGCCAGCTCGGCAGTCCCCGGGGCTCACCTGATCCGTACACCGACCGACCCGTCACCGTCCGTACAGTCGGCTGCCGTCCGTCCCGTACTTCCGTACGCAGCCGGCCCAGTCGGCGGCTCGCCCGACTGTGCTGTTCGGACGGCGGCCGTCGGACCGGCAGACCGCCCTCTGTCGACGGACACGAGGTGGCGCAACCGCGCGGAGGGGCGGCGCCGTCCGCCCGGCCAGGGCGGGCATCCGCCAGATGAGATGGCATTGGGCAAATCCGTGAATCAGCTCCGGCTCTGGGAGGCTGGGGAAGTCCCAACGCACTGCAGGCGGTTTTGGTAGGTATGCGGATCACCTCATCCCGGCAGCGTGCGGACAGGCCGCGGCCGGAGATGGAAGCCGGCCAGCGCTGCAGTGGTGGTCGAGGCTCGTACGAGCGGCCGGATTGCTCAACGTCGAGCGGCGCACTTCGAGGAGCGTGGACTATAAATATAGATGAGGCGGATGGATGAGATCATAACCAAGTCAGCACGGCAACCGGCCTGAGAGTTGTGAGCATAAGCTCCTACCACACGGACGACGGGGCGAGCGCCGGATGTCAGATGTCAGAGCCTTTTGATAAAGCTCAGCAGCTGAGACGTCAAGGTCTATCGCGGACAGCACCCCACTGAGAGGACATCTCGACATCTGATAAGGAGCTCGAAGCTGTCTGCAGCCAGCACCGCTGCTCCTCAAAGAGTTTGGGGAATATTGGCAGCGCAACTACACATTATCTGGCCGCAAGGCGCAAATGGTTACCAACAGGAGTAATGTAGCCACCAGACCTTATGCTTATCAAGGACACCTGTGACGCCGCTCACGGGTTCCCCGAACCTGCAATGTAATGATGTTACCGCCCGGAGGCGTTTCCGTGAATAGCCCAGACTCGCACCGTCATGGCTGGCTCAGACAGGGTCAATACTTCATGCAGCCTGCTCAGACATGGACTCAATGTTAGGCCACTGATTAGCATTCAGAACGACCTGGCCATGGAAAAGACGCCGACTCGGGATCCACAGCTTCAGACCTGGAACTCTGGAGCCTGGGACAGTACCCGCACTGAGACAGTCTGAACGTCGTCCCAGTCTGCAGTCTGTCGGACTATGCTGGACTTGATCACACCTCATACCAGTCCAACCGGTGTCTGTCCCCGGCAGAAGCATGACCTCTGGTTGCCCGCTGCAAGGGACCGCAGCGCTCCGGCCGGCCGCGTCAGTGGGGGCTATTAGCGACGGAGCGGTGACAGCGCCAGCCCGGCTCGGTCCGGGGGAGGGGTAGGACAGTTCTGACAGCCCGGGGAGTCCCGCCAGCCTGGAATGGACGGTCACGGCCCGGCGGCCACGCTGCGGACGGCGCCGCTGCCGCACAGACCGCCCGCAGCGGCGGGACACAGGGCTGTAGAGTGTAGAGGCAGTAAAAGTTAAAACGGAGCTCGGCGAACTTTGGTCGGACCGATCACAATGGCAGCTGTAAAAATGAAAGATATTTATGTAGTATCGTATCAACTACAAACACAATAAAAGTTCCAGACTACTTTATCTTCAGAAATAATTACGATGCCTTATACGTCCCAAGATTCACATATCCTTTCACAAGTAGGCTGGAATAGAAACTTTTATAATGATGTTGTCCAAGCACATCAGTTTGCGATCTCTTAGCATAAGCAGGGCGCCCAACGCTGGCAGCTTGCACTATGGTGGTGAAATATCCACATGACAACCGCCAGCGCACAGGGACCACCACGTTGTGCAATGTATAACTCACAGCGATTGCGAATATAAACAGAACAGAGCGACACGGTACAATTTATACGGCGACACGACCTGAGCGGGGCAATCAGGGGGAGGGCGTCGTTACTCGTTATGGGAGATAGTCATACCAAGGTCGGACATTCAGTACCCAGTTGTCAGTCTGGAGGTCGACATATTTGCCTGGACTAGCAATCAGACAGTAAAAGACAAGGGACCGATATACTCACCTGAGCGTCTACCGTCTGCCGCCCACTGAGCCCCAGCCTATACCACAATGAGCCGTGTGACCACACAGCCCGCCCGACCGATCTCGACACGCCCACTCCCGCATTCCGCTATCGGACCCGAGCAGGGGCGGACACAGGACGACAGACACACACGCACACATGCACACTCACACACCTTCTGCGGGGTCTCTGATGGAGAAACTACGGTCCTCTGACATGACACGTTCAGAGACCGGGACGTCCAAACGTCAGTGCAGTGCAACTCCGAGCAGCCGCCCCCTGGCGCACCCAATACTGCCCACTGATAACGACATTCTCTACAGGACCTGCTATCATTGAGCATACACCACGGCCGGTCACGGGGCGGGCGGACCACGCGGCACGGGCCGCCGGAGTTGCACCACATGACGAGAGGGCGCACTCAGGGGGCCGGGGGCGGCGGATTTACCAGGCTGTCGGCAGTCCAGCGGCGAGGCAGACCGGGACCGTGAGCGGGAGCGAGACCGAGACCGGGACCGGCACTGGGGCTCCTCCGGCGGACAGCGGCGTCTCTTGCTCATGGCGCCGCGGCCGAGCGAGTGGCTGCCAGCCGGCCGCTCGAAAGGGCGTGTCGGCGCCGCCGCCGGAGCAGGGGCGATTCCAGGCACACAGCCGGTCGGTCCCGTCGGCACGGCAGCTAGGCCGGGATTCGTCACAGCGCACCCGGCACCGCTGAGCGAGCCGAGGACGTGCCCGTCTCGACCGACGCCGACGCTGCCGCCTGAACAGACAGGCACCGCGCGGCGGGGCCGGTGACCGGTGGGTGCATGGCGCGACCTTGGCGGCGGCGGGCGACGGCGGCCGGGCCTGTCGCGACCCGCCGGGCGCCGGTAAAATCGATGCAGCTCGGCATAGCTCAGCGAGAGAGAGAGAGAGAGAGAGAGAGAGAGAGAGAGAGAGAGAGAGAGAGAGAGAGAGAGAGAGAGAGAGAGAGAGAGAGAGAGAGAGAGAGAGAGAGAGAGAGAGAGAGAGAGAGAGAGAGAGAGAGGCTCACGTGAAACAACACGACTTTTCACGATGCATTTACTTACCGAGGTCGCAGTACGAACGCTTCAACTGATGGCTATCGTCTTCCAAGCAAAGTAGCGGCTTCTTCGGTTGTTTATCTTCCTTCCACACACCAGGTTTATCTTCCTTCCACACACCAGCAGTCAGCACTACTCCGGCTGAACACCTGTAAACAAAACAGCTGTAAAAACGTAAAACTTTCGTCTCTGTAAACTAAAACACCAAACCATTTCCCACGTGACAGAGTTCCCAATCCACAGTTAGGGTCACATACGAACGAGTAGTCCATGCGTCACATACGATGCTTCATAAGTCCCAACCCATCAGCCCGATACTCACCTTTCAGCTCTGGCATCGTTCTTGCGAAAAAAGTCACCGGTGTATACAAATTATATGACACGCAGAGCGGTCACAGATCTTCCCCATTTCCAGTCGAGCGACCGCATGACATCATCCAAATGCCGCCATGACGTACCTATTTCTGAGTAACGGAGCGGCGTCCTGATGACACTGAATCATGTTGAGACAGACATTGGAGGGGTAAGCCTAAACACATGACTGGGGAACTGAGTAGAGCAGTCTGCGATTTATAAGCACATCTATGCATTTCGACAGTAACGGTGCACTAGCATTAACCCGAGAACTCATGATCGGATGGCAGGTATGCATTGCCTGTCACATGATATGCAGCATAGAGGTGCGATTTCGACAGCGTGGCCCTCATCGATCTGTGAGCAGTAATGCAGTGTTGTGGCAACGAGAGTATAAATGATCCAGACCGTTTGCTCGATACATACATGTAGGATCAATTATTAACAGCGAGATTCTGATGAGCCTTGCGAACGATACCAGGACCGCACTTAATCATCAGTGAGACAAGTTACATGGGACTTCTCCCTCCCACTAAAAAAAATTGACGACTGATAACAGCACACTGCATATGAGACATCAGGCATACACAGACAGCCACGTCATGCCAGGTAGGTTAGGTTAGGTTCTAGCCAGCCAAATACTAACCCAGCCAGCCAGGTGTGTATAATGTCATGATAAAACTATACTTCAGGCATTTGTTTCAGCTTCTGATCTTCAGCTGAGGGCTGGGTTCTATTCATCCCATCCCCAGCCACCAGCCGAGCCAGAATTCGGCGGCCTGCTGACCAGTAGTTATCTATCTCACGAACTCATGACCGGTGGTCGCTGGACCAATGAAGATACCACAGGACGTGCATGGTAAAAATAGCGACAGCAAACTTCCCGATTGGCAGTGACAAGAGCATACAAACACGATAACTAATCAAGCACGGCGTCTGCCAAGAGACTTTGGCTTATGGTGCACCAAATGGGCGTCTGAGTCTGCGAAGGTGCAAGGACAAGGAATCAGAATAGGTTTTTAATACTTGAGCAAAGCATGATACAAGTGCAATCATACTTGAGCAAAAGCTGACTGGAGCTAAGCTTCACTGGTTCACGTCAGTTGAGTTTATCCATCAAATGACTAGCGGCGAGGACGTAAACCAGAGCTTTGTACCCTAGACTGGTCAAACAGGTGGCGCCACTCTTGCGTTAGCCACGTTAGCTTTCGCGGAGCTACGTAGGGGGCAATGCGTTCCAAGTGAGCGCGAACGATATCGTCGTTACATACAGCTGTTACGAATATTTGAGCACCGAGTATCAACGACAAATAGTTTGTACAGACAGAGCGTACTAATGACAGCGATTTCCATTTGGACACCCTGATAGCCCAGTCAATTTCGCATGAAATCGGCGTTCGTACTACCTCCGAACCAGATTCACTGGCAAAACCACCAGCTGCAGCCAAGCCCCCTGTCCCTCCCTTGCCCCTCATTTTCGTCACCCTCTCTGACTCCTAAACTCTCGTAACCTCACCCCTCTATCCCACAAAACAAGGCGCTCCCGGCTCTGAGCAGCGTGTATTTTTGTCACGAAGACCCGCGGCCGCGACAGTGGCAACATTAGGCGGACGGCAATAGGGCAATTTAACGTTTGCGGCGCAGCGAGAGCGTGTTCCGTCGCAGCCAGTTGGCCCGTCGCGAGCCACCCTTGGTGTTGTTGAACTTGCGTCCGTGGCCGATGCCGCGGTGCTTACGGCCGGCCGAGGTCTTGCCGCGCAGTTCGCGGTGCTTGTGCACGGCGTTACAGATCCAGTTGATCTTAGCGTCGTGGCGGATGGCCTGTAGAGGAGAGACGGGCGTCAGTAGTCGGGTCGAGGTGGGAGAGAGCGGCGGGCGGGGATATATATGGTCATGCGTTATGGCGACTCGGCGAAGGACGTGAAATAGTAGTGATGCAAACATCGAACAT